GCACCTGCAGAAGACCTACATTTGGCTCCTAGCACCCACATGCTGACTCACAGTAGCTCATCTTAGGGCAGCCACAGCCCTTCTGATCTCCACGGCGGTGGTGTACATCCATCCACGGAGGCAAAGCACTCATGCACATACAGTAGGATTCAAATTCTAAAACTAGCCTGAGCTTTATACAGAGTGAGACCCAGTCTCAAGAAACACACACAGAGAAACAAAGACAGCCTTAGAGGGGTTAATATTTTTGTTGGCTATAATTTGCAGTGGCCACTAGTTGGCCAGTATTAATTCTGCCCTCAGTTCAGAGAAACAGAACAAAAAGCAACAAACAGCCTGAGCTGGGCATGGTAGTACTTCTGGGTAATTTCAGTACTCAGGAGGCTGACTCAGGAGCATTGGGAGTTCAAGGACAGCCTGGTATACGTCCAGTCTCAAACCAAAAACCAATTACAACTGTAATCCCAGCTCTTCCTGGAGGCCGAGGTATGAAGACTGCTAAGAGTTTAAAGTAACCCTGGGTTATAAAAATGCTCTTTCTCAGCAATATGTGTAGCTGTTTCTGGTGCTGTAGTTTATATTCTAAAGAGGAGAGCAATAATCACCTCTGCAGCTTGAGCAGCAACTGAGGGGAAGGGCAGACTGTTCCCTTACAAGTGTGGGACTGTGGAAGTGGCAGAGGGCATCTTGAGAGTGGTCCAGGAGAAGGAACAACATAAAAACAGCAAGCTCACACCTGGATCTTCTGACTCGACCGAACAACTTCCTACTAACTTAGACTTTAGGCCTTAGTCTGTGACCTCATGGCAATCCTCTGTCTCGGTCTCCTGAGTGCTAAGATTTCAAGCACACAGGAAACGGTAGCTTCTTACCTACTAGATTCTCATCAGTTTGGTGGGACAACAGTGACACCCATAATTCTTTACAGAAATGCTTGCTCTCTGGCCGTTGACTGTAGGCATCCAAAGTCTACTGACATCCTGGGAGAAACTGACTGGTAATCCTCCTTCTCCCTGAGTCATCCTGACTGACTGACCAGTTTTGGTGGGAATCACTGCAAAGACTTTTTGCAAAAGGCACAAATTATACGCTTGATGGGGCTTTGTCACAAAGATGAGTGTTAATAGTTTGTGTTGTGGTGTGTGCCTGCTCATATAAGAATGAGTCAATGTGGAGGTCAGAGGATGAATCCCTTCTACCTGGTCTGAGACAAGGTCTTATGTTACCAGGCTAGCTGGCCCTCGGGCTCTTTCGGATTCTCCTGTCCCCAGCTCCATCTGACGAGAGGCCCACTGGGGCTGACACAGGTCCACCACCACATGCTCAGTTCTGAGGATCTGATCTCCAGTCTTCACTCAGGTTTACATGGCAAGTCATCTGCCCAGTCCCTGAACGTGAGGCTTAAAGCCCTTCTCAGCTGTATCTCCCCACGCTCCCGGCTCCACAGACAGTGTTTCATGTTTCCCAGCCTCAAACCGAGCAGGACCTTCACCTGATCCTCCAGCCTCCAGATATGATCGGCCACACCTCACTACCTCTCCTTTTGTTTACTGATAAGACAGTCTTGAAGCCACCCCCCCCCCCCCCGCTATATATTATAACTCTTAATGATCCTCCTGACTCCTGGGATTACAGGAACATACTGCCATACCTGACAGTAAGCGATGGCTCAGTGGATGGAGGTGCTTGCCTCCCAGCTTGATGACTCAAATATATTTTTAAAAGATGTATTTATTTATACAGTGTTCTGCCCAGATGCCAGAAGAGGGCATCGGGTTGTGAGCCACCATGCGGTTGGTTGCTAGGACTTGAACTCAGGACTTTCGGAATAATAGCCAGTGCTCTTAACCTCTGAATCAATCCTCCAGTGACCATTTGGGAATTTTGGTTTCTTAAAAACACAGATATAAGAATGTGCATTCAGTTTAGTCTCAAGTATGGGGATATGGGGCTGCTTTGGACTGTCTGCAGCAGCTGACTATGATCTTGTCACCTGCAGATAGTTTCTGTGACTGTGTGACAGTCTGGGAACTTTTTGGAGGGTATATAAATGCTAGAGCCCCGAAAGGTGTGAGTGTGTGTGTGTGTGTGTGTGTGTGTGTGTGTGTAACAGCTGTTACTTGTTCAGAGAGGTTGGTTGCAGTTTTTTAGTAGTCATGGTCAAAGAAGAAACAAAAGGATAATTTAGACTGAGGAACTTTCCGAATTCCTCTTTCCTATCCAGTGTGAGGAGGTGAAACTGGAGAAATAGAGGGTAGTAAAAAAGAACCCACAAAGTAGCAAAGGTCAGCTACAGCCTCACACCATGGAAGGAGAAAACTACACTCTTTTGAATGGTACTCTTAACCTCCACACATGCGCACACAAAGAAATGCAATTAAAAATAAAAGGGAATGACAGACACGCAGCTGCACAGATGCTGAACATCAATCTGCCGGTGTCCAGCATCTGTATCAGAGCAGGTGGGGCCCTGATCTTGTTTCACTTTGAAGGCAGCATGAGAAAGTGGACAAAGGTGGCCAACAGCCAGGAGTCTGCTGGAGATGAGAAAAGAGATGGAAAACTGGGAAACCCAGAGTCCCCAGAGCCAAACACATGTGGTGCTCAGGCAAGCTCCCCCTGGTCCCAGCTGCCCCATCCAGGAAAGCAGAATGTATGTATCCAGCTTAGCCATCTAGTTAGCACCCGTCCATTCCAGGGAATGAAGGCTCTCACCTTTGCAGAAGTTTCTCTGTCTCTGTCAACAGTTTCTCTGTGGAGCCCTGACTGTCCTAGCACTCTGTAGACGAGGCTGGCCTTGAACTCAGACATCCTCCTGCCTCTACCTCCCTTGAGTGCTGGGACTAAAGGCTTGTCCTACCACCATCTGTCATTACCATTACGTTGTCTGTTTTTCTTTTCTTTTCTTTTCTTTTCCAAAACAGGGTTTCTCTGTGTAGTCTTGGAGCTGTCCTGGAACCAGACTGGCCTTGAATTTATAGAGATATGCCTGTCTCTGCCTCCCAAGGGCTCTGCTGGGATGAAAGGCGTGTGCCACCACAGTTCTGCTGCTTTTGGGTATGTCTGGGGACTCCACGTGATGCCCAGCACATACCTGATTCCTAAATTAAGCTGCTTTACGTTGAGGGGAGGAAAAACCTATGCTCTCTGACTAGTTGTTTCCCAGTTGAGATCAAAGTACATCCCACAGCTGGGTGTGGTGGTGCACACCTTTTATCCCAATACTCAGGGAGGCAGAGGCAGGCAATCACTCTGAGTTTGGGGCCAACCTGGTCTACAAAGCAAGTCCAGGACAGCCAAGGCTACACAGAGAAACCCTGTCTTCAAAAGACAACAAAAAACAACAAAAATGACCCCAAAAACCCCACAACAAGGTACATCCCACATAGAGATAGCAAGAGATGTACAATCTGAGAACAATACTCTGCCAGCCAGTTGAAGGCAGGCAGGGGTCCACTTAGCCAATCCTCCTATCCCTCCTGAAATGGTCAGGTAGTGTACTAACTAGCCTGTCACAGCTAGCTCTTTCAGCACTCAGCACAGTTATGGCGAGAGGTGCCTGAACAGTCTCATGGGATGAAAGCAGGGTGGAATGAACACCTCGGAGACTGAAGCCACGGACTGTTCAATCTAACCAAACCCGGGCCAGGAGTAGCTTAGTTGTGAACCAGGTGTCCTCAGAAAAAGCTACGTCCAGACAGCCTGAGTTTGACCGTGGAACCCACAATGGAAGAGGAGAACCTATGCCCCAAAGTTGACCTCTGCCTGCATGTGTGCCTCACCATGCCAGGCTACACACTCATTTCTTTCCCCTGCCCCTGAAACAGCCTTTCTGTGTAGCCCTGAATAGCCTGGAATATGCTATGCAGACCAGGCTAGCCTTGAAATAGAATCAGGGCCTGTAGCTCACATGCCTTATAAAAACAAAACAAACAAACAAAAACAGGCTTCAGGGGCTGGAGAGATGGCTCAGAGGTTAAGAGTTGCTCTTCCAGAGGTCCTGAGTTCAATTCCCAGCAACCACGTTGGCTCCCAACCATCTACAATGAGATCTAGTGCCCTCTTCTGGCGTGCAGACAGAATACTGTATATATAATAAATAAATCTTAAAAAACAGAAACAAAAAAGCAGACTCCAGCTCCTCTGCCTGTTTCTACTGGATAATCCCTCCCCATAAGCCAGGCAGCCACTGTGCGGTGATGGGTCTCTAAGAGCGCCTCTTACAAAAGGCAGTACCCATATTTGGTCCCAGGAGCTGGCCTGCTGATCCCTCTGCTGGGCAACTTCTTCTGCCACATGTCCCCACTACATCCCACATAAACACTGTCCCCACCGAGAGCTGCTCTTCCTGTCTGTTTATGTGATTCTCAAGATGTCTGTTCCTCTTGGCCTCAGGAATGTCCTGGCATCTCTCACACATATACCTCACCCACACTGCAGCTCTGGGCTCTGCAGCTTAGCACTTCAGGCATATGCAGTCCTTGCTGTACCCCTCCCTGGCCCACCTCACCCACCCTGTGGGTAGAGCTAGCCTGCTGTGGATGCTCTTCTAGAGAAGTCTGATCGACTGGGCCTGGTGGCAGCAATGGCCAGGGGGAAAGGAGAATGGAGACTTGAAGGCCTGGGTCAGCCTTTCCAGGAACACAAAGGCACAGCTGGCTCCAAGCTTCTTTTTTTGTTTGTTTGTTTTCTTTCTTTCTTTTTTTTTTTTTAAATTTTTTTTTTTTTTTACAAAACAACATGTCCCAGACAAACAGGGCATTGCAAACTTTCTCCCAAGTACTGTGGCCTAAAGGGAAGGACTCCATGAATGAGCAGCTGCCAATCCCAGAAAGCCATTTGCCCTTTTGCACAGGGCCAATGTGAGGGTCGCCCGCCCCGTGTCCACACCCGCTGGGTCTCTGGTTCTCCCAGTACCTGCAAAGGAAGGAGAAAGAAATGGTTCTGACAGGAGGCAGGAAGGCTGTTGCCAGGGATGGGGCAGGCCCACCAAATCTCACCAAGAACATGTGACATTATCCAACGGTAATGGAGATGCCAATGATGACAGCCAAGATGAGAACAGTGATAGAAACACAGATGGCAATCATGACTTTTTTCTGTGGGAGAGGAAGGGTCATGAAAAGTCATTGTGGAGTGCCAAAGGCTGGGACATGAGCTGAGGCTTACCTTTCTCGCCTTCTTCTGGTTCTCTAGGGCTATCTTGACATGCTCCTGCCCACGCTCCACATAGTCTGCTGAGCTCAGGATATTCTTCTCAATACGGTTGATCATCTCCCCCTGTTCAGAGGACAAATGGACAGTTCAGAGACCGGAGAGATAACCGGCCTGGAGGCAGGGATCAGTTACACTGCCCAGCACAGGCTAAAATAACCAAGATATTTTTTCTTGTTTGCTTGTTTGTTTTTCTAAGACAGGTTTCTCTGTATAGCCTTAGCTGTCATGGTACTCTCTCTGTAGATCAAGCTGGCCTTCAATGCACAGAGATCCATCTGCCTCTGCCTACCTGAATGCTGGGATTAAAAGCATACACCACTAACACCACTACCGCCCAGCTTCCAAGGCATTCTTTTTGGGGGATTTTCTTTTTTTTTTTTTTGCCTTCGAGACAGAGTTTCTCTATGTAGTCCCTGGCTGTCCTGGACTCACTTTGTAGACCAGGCTGGCCTCAAAATCATAGCAATCTGCCTCCCCAGTGCTGGGACTAAAGGCCTGTGGGGATTTTTCAAGACAGGGTTTCTCTGTGTAGCCCTGGCTGCTGACCAAGATATTCTTGGCAGAGAAAAAGCTACACTAACAAAGATAAGGCAGGACCAGAACTGACAAATGTTCAGGTAAGTATGGCTTCCAGGTCCTACCGCTGCCATGATGTCCCTTCTCTCTGTTCCTTTGTCCTATATAACTTTCACTTGCAGCGGAGGCCTGAAGCCACGGCCTTGTATTGTATGGCTAGCACCTTTTCCACAGATGGTAAACTCTGGTCTGAATTCACCCATTCTTCTGGGCCTGTCTCCATCCTCTTCCTGCCTCCTCCTGGCACTACAAGTGTTGGTCCTGACACTCCCACTGGATGAGAGACCTTCCCCCATGACTACCAGCTGCAGAAGAGAATGGCTGTAGCACTGTGGAGTTCAGCTCAGGAGGTCAGGACAGGGCTGGAAGCTCCCTGACCTCTCCGGCCAAGCCTGAAAGCGCCATTCCAACCTATGAGAGACTAGGAGGTTGGTCCCTTAGGGACGGCTCTCCAAAAAACCTCTAATAGCATGGGGAGCGGGGGGCTTCTGTTATAGGAAGAGAAGCCATGATCAGAGTAAGTGGCACGCTGGAGGGACAGGTGGGATGCTATCAAGGTAGCTGTGGAGGTGGGCAGAATTTGGCTCAGGATGAAAGTGGGGGCCACCTGGGAGCATGCCTGTGCTTGGTAGAGCACAAAGCCCAGGAGAGTGTCTTTAGGGCGGAGCGTAACTCTAAACCACAGCTAGGACTGCAGGCCGCACAGGGCTTCCAGGCACCCACCTGCATCTCTACCTCCGTTGCTAGAAAAGTGAAGATCTCGTGGAGCTCACGGATACTGCGCTCCAGCTGCTGGATCTCACTGTGGCGTGCCGAGATCTCGTTCAGGGCCTGTCGCGTAACCTGTGTGTCCTTCAGTATCTGGGAGGCAGACAGGAATTGGAGAAGACATCACAGGAGGACCAGGAGCCAATCCACAGTTTCTGCCGAGCTTCTCTAAATGGGATCCTAGCATATTCTAACTCGTTCCTGACTGGGCCTTGCTCTGCCTTCTATACAAAGAAACCAGAACTCAGAGACAGAAGGCCCACAGGGGAGGCTGGCTGTGACCACTCACATTAGATACAAACACTTCGCTCTGCCCACTGTCCAGCATCTGCTCCAGCTCCTCATCAGACACCATCCCAGCATTGGCTGTAACAGGAAAGGCCAGTTCAGAGCTGATCCATGCTCCCAAACCCTGAGGGCCAGGCACCCCAACTCACTGATCTTCAGCTGCCTACGGATGCGCTCCACGTTCTTCTCTCGGTATTCGGACTGCATTGAGTTGCACTCATTGATGAGCTCGACGAATTGCTGGGACAGGACACCATGCTAAGAACAGAAAGCCTAGCTGGGCGTCAAAAGGAACTGCCATGAGGTGCTGAGGTATACCCACCTGCGGCCTTGGCAGACTCCCTCCTTCCTCAGAAGGAAACCAAAGCTCTTATCAGGGGCCTCATTACACCCATGACTTTGCCTCCTCCTCACCACTCCTACTATCTCCCTCCCTCTCTTTCCTCCCCAGTGGTTTCTCCCTCAGCAAGACATGCTCCCCTCGGTCCTTGCACACTGCTCCTTCTGCCTAAAATGCTCATTCCCACAAGCACGCTTCAGTCTCCAATCATTGATTATTTTATGTGTCTGAGTATTTTGCCTACACACTCATCAGTGCAGCCCATGTGCCTGGTGACTGTGGAAGCCAGAAGGTGTCCAACCCCTGAAACTGGAGCTACAGAAGACTGTGAACCACCACGAGGGTGCTGAGAATTGAACCCAGGTCCCTGGAAGAGCCGCTGGTGCTCTGAACTGCTGAGCCATCTCTCTAGCCCCACCTTACTTATTTGAGACACAGTCTCCTACAGCTCATGCTGGTCTTGAACTCATCAAGGGTGATCTTGAACTCCTGATTCTGTCTCTACCTTCCAAGTGCTGGGATTACAGATGTGCACCATGTCAGGCTTCACCTATTTTTGAGTTTTTAAATTTTGATCTTGTTTATTAATTACTATTACTATTATTTGGTTTGAGATTGGGTCCCATGTAGCCCAGGCTGGGTTACATGGGTAACCCATGTAGCATCTAGCATCACAGGTGTGTACCAACAGGGAGCTGCATTGTGAGGTGGTAGAAATGTAGCCCAGGCCCTGCATATGCTAGACAAGCATGTAACATGACTGATACCCCAGCCCTTACTTATTTTTTAACTTTATTTGGGGCAGGGTGGGACTGCCAAGGTGGCTGAGCCTGTAAAAATGCTACTAGCACAAGTACTAAAATCCGCATTCAGTGATCCCAGAGCACATTAAGAGCCAGATGGGGTGGTGTGCTCTGTGATCCCAGCATGCCCACGGTGACATGGGAGGCAGAGGCACACACACCCCACCTTTGGGGGACGATCCACTCCCACTGCGGCGTGCACCTGCGTCCATTTTCTCACACACACGTTTAAGAAGAAAATAAAAACCAAAACAAGCTTCTGCTATCACAGGCTGTCGGAACCAGGGCCTCACGTGTGCGAAGCATGTCCTCCACCACTCAGCTCCCTCCTCCCCCTCATTTAAGCTACATTCCCTCCCTCTGCTAGCACGTTCCCTCTTTTTATGCTGTTTTGTCTCTTAATACTTACTAGATCATAAATTAACCTCATTTGAGTATAGCAGCCTATATCTTTAGTCCCAGCACTGGGGAGGCAGATGCAGGCAGATCCGAGTCTGAGGGCAGCCTTATCGATATGAGCTCCAGGCCAGTAAGAGCTATTTCGTGAGACCTTGTCTCAAAAGAGTAAAAACTAAAGTAAAATAATGTACTTATTTGGTGACTGCCTTGCCCCACTAGAATGTGAAGTCTCGAAGATAGAATGTTTAAGCCTGGCACCGACAGCAAGTGTGTACTTGCTGAAGGCTCACCGCATGTCAGCGTTGCTCTTGACACTGCACGTGTGCTCACGTACCTCAGCGTCACCATGCCACCACCACAGGCGCCCTCCTGTGGGTGCGGCTCCCATGGTCCCTACCTGATTCCTTACATAAGCTTACTCTCCTCAACTCCCACTCCTACGACCCCACCCCAGCCCACTTTTTTTTCCAGATATGGTTTCTCTGTGTAGTTTTGGCTGTTCTGGACTTGCCTGGTCAAGTCCCATCAAATTTCCTTCCTAAGATGTCGCCTTTTATGGCTCCCTTTTCACTGCTGCCCCAGGGAGAATCCCTCATTTCTTTTAAAAACATTTTTTTTAAAACAATATATGAAGATTTAAAATATCTGTATTAATTTTTTATTTTGATTCTTAGTATTTTTATTACTTTTAATTATGTGTTCATATGTAGGTAGTGCTGGTGTTGGAGGAGGTTGGAGCTGGAGTTACAGACGGTATGAGCCACCTGCCATGGCTGCTGGGAACGACTGAATTCAGTTCCTCTGAGAGAGCGCACCCGTCTCTCTAGCCCCTACGTTACCCTTTTATATGTTTACTTCGTGTGTGTCCCTGGGGGAGGGCATGTGTGCCACAGAACACATGTAGAAGTCAGAGGACAACTGAAGGAGTCAGTTCTCCTCCTGCTACGTGGATCCTGGACCGGGTCAGGGTCCAAGGCGTGGAAGTGGACACCTTTGCCCATCGGTCCATCTTGCCAGCCCTTTCACCTCTTGAATTCTATCTATGGGGACAGGGACGTCCTTGCATTTTTTCTTCTTTTTGTATTTTGTAATTTTTTGTGTGCACTGGCGTTTTGCCTGCATTCATGTCTGTGTGAGGGTGCTGGGTCCCCTGGAACGGGAACTACAGACAGTCGTGAGCTGCCATGTGGGTGCTGGGAATTGAACCTAGGTCCTCTGGAAGAGCAGCCAGTGCTCTTAACCACTGAGCCCTGTCTCCAGCTCCACTTGCTTTATTTCTGTCTCTTCTTCCCTTGGACAGAGGAATTACATACCAAGTCCTATATGAGAAATATCTTTGTTCCCTATTCAGTCCAAATTCCCATTCTCAGTTTTGGGAACGTGTGCTTCTCACAGCCAGGCCCAAGTCATGTCTGACACAGCAAATTCCCTTTGAATGGAGGAGGCAGGATGTTATAATGGAGTGAACACGTTAAAACCTGGATTCTCTGCCTACACCAAATTCTCTCTTATGAGCATAAGCACCTTCATATGCTTATGAAAATCAGGACAGACCCCAGAATCAATGGTCTCCAAGGGCTGAACGGTCACCATTTAATAACCTAACAAACACTTTAAAATGTTCTAGTTCTAGGAAAATGAAACCCACCTGGGTTTTTTTCATTCTTGTGTTGACTGAGTTATAATTCTCATCAGCTTCTTCCTTCTGGGGCTCTATGGCTGTGGGAGAAAGACAAGGGATGACAGAAGAAGGGTTTTCCCTGAGACTTATAAAAATTGCTTGGGAGGCCAGTTGGTCTCTGTTTGAGGCTATCCTGATCTGTGTATTGAGCACCTCTCCTCAAATAATAAAAAAAACTTTAAATATATAATAAAAATGTTAAGTGAATTTTAAAGAATTGTTTGGGAACCAGAACACAGGGCCATATCTACATTCCAGCTACATAATAAGGAGGTTCTTGTCCTCATAGAATTTTTATTATAAAGTGACCATGAGCAGGGAAGTATTTTAGTAGTAGTGGAGGAGGAGGAGAAAAAAAGAAGGAACTAGGAAGAGGAAGAAGGAAGAAGGGGATGAGATGAACAGCTGGGCATGGTTGGGGCAGGTCTTTAATCTCAGCGCTCAAGAGGCAGGCAGAGATGAATCTCTGTGAATTCAAGGCCAGCCTGGTCTACATGGGTTGACAAGAAGTGAGGATGGAGGTGGGGATATAAAAGGGAGGAGGGGGGCTAGTTCTGAATTTCTGAGAGAAGTTTTCTTCTGTATTACGTCAGCGGGTTTCCACAAGTGTGAAGAAGCCCTCATCTGTCTACCCAAAGAATACACACGGGGCTGCAAGAGCTATAGCAGCAAGTAGTTTCGAATTTAAATCTAAAATAATGATAAAGGGATCTGAGAGGCCAGCATGGGCTACGCAAAGTACCAAGGCTTGGATGCCACGGGACAGAGATCCTTGAACGAGGCCCGCCGCGTGACTTGGATACATCACTTGACTATGTGGCCAACACACCACCCACATATACCAGCAACGGGGCTGAATCAGAGGGGAAGATGTGACTGAGGCGCTTCAAGTTCATTCACCTTTTAGCTGCGCTCGGACCTCTCGCCCCAGCTGTTTGATCTCCTCGCGCAGATTCTGCAGGCCCTGCTTCATGCCTAAATGAGAAAGCCAACACTTCCAAACCACAGCTTCTGCCACAAGCCCAAACCAAACCCACTCTGGCCACCACTTGAATAAAACTACATCCCCCATAATCCACCGGGCTGGCGAGCTAGAGCCCGAGGTTTCGCTTACTCTCCTCAGGAAGGGGCGTGGCCAGGATGGTGACCTGCTGTTTCTCCAACTCCCGGACTTTACTCTCCAGTTTGGCCATGGTCTGCCGAATTGTCTGGACCTACGGAGGATCACCAAGAGGGGCTGAAGACATCAGTGGCACTCTAGTCCGCCCAACACCTCGGTCCTCCGGACCCTTACCTTCTGGAAGAACTCATCGTCCGGGCTCCCCAGCCGGGCGGCACCTGGCTGTACCACCAGCGCGACTCGAACCTCATCTTCGTCGTCGGAGCTGTTATCCCCCTACCAGGGCCGGAGTCATTGGCACTATCCGCTCGCTGCGGTGCTCGTCCCGCAGGAAGCACTGGCTTCCGGGATTTTCCTTCCTGGCCATCAGCCACCCCTCTCGGACCCAAAGCCAGGAGTCCTCACCCCAGCGCGCCCGCCCAGCCCCAGCTTCTCCTCACCCCAGTTTCTCACCTGCCTCAACTCGTGGGTCCTGTCGCGCATGGTGGCCGGAGCGCCCCGTCCCTGGGCCTGGACCCAAAGGGCCTCAAGGTTCTAAATTTGGAAGTCCTGCACCTCTCTCACGCCTGACACCCCCCTCCCTCACCCTGCGAACCCCAAGACCCCCCAGGAGCCGCCAAAGGCCCCGCCCCTGTCACCATCCACGGTCGCGGGGAAGAACCCGACCATAGGACCCCTAAAGTTCTACAGGTTGGAATTCCCTTCTCTTCCCCCCATCCTGCTCCCGAAGCCACAGCCCCGCCCCTCCGGGGCGATGACTCCGAGCATGCGCGCGAGGTCCCGGCTCTTCCCCGCCGAGGGGAAAGGCGGAGGTCGGAAGCAGTTGCGGCAGAACGGAAGCGAGGCCGCCTGGGATCGAGAGCCCGCCCCCCCCCCCCCTCCCCGCCTCTACCGGAACGTCTCATTCTGGAACTGAAATCTAGTTGCCCGAAGGGTTGGGAATGCGTCATTTGCACGCAGTCTGAGATCCTCGGATCGCACATCACCCCATGGCACACCCCTCCGTCACGTGACAGTCCCGGGCCCAGTTCCGAGGGATGCGCGCCCGACAGCCAGTCACGTGTTCTGGCGCTGTCACCGACGTCTCGGACCTCAGTCTCGCGACGTCCCCGACACCCGGGTCTGAGCTGCGACCCTGCTGTTTCTACGAGGGTTGGAAGGGTACGCTGCCTACTCTCAGCCACGTACTGGGGAGACCCTGTAGAATTCACCTTTTGCTTTAATTTTGGGTCCTAGCGCGTGGGCAAACTGAAGACTTACATTTGGGGCTTTCAGCGTCGTGAGACCTTGAAAGTCAGAAAATAATGAGTCTACAGCGTCAGAGAACCGCAGGGTTTTGTAGGCAGAGAATCTGGGGGTGGGAAGTGACCTCAGCCAAGGTGGCGCTTCACCCCTCCCCTGCGTCCTTCTGGCACAGCCTCTGACAGGTGGGCGGCCTACGCCCTGCTTGAGCACTGCAGTCCCGCTGAGCTCGCTACCTTCTGCGCGGCAAGATGATTTCAGAGCAGCTCAAACTGAGAAAAATGTACTGTTACCTCCGCAGCTCTGCCTTACAACTGACGTCTGAGCATGACTTGCTTTTCTTTAACGGAATCCCCAGCACCAAATTCAGTGGCTGTCACATAATAGGCCCACACAGAAAATTTGTTCCGAATATTGTTAGCCTTTCGTGTATCTGAAACTAAAGCCCGCGGCTTCCTGTTCTTTAGGCTTTTTTCACTGTGCCATTTCCCCAGCCTTGTCTCTCTGGACATACATTCACTTGACATATTTATTGGGCACATACTGCAGAACAGATACTGTTTTAGGGGCTGGTGACACACCAGGGACCAGCAGACCCATGCACTTGTGGGGCTTCCGTTGTAGAGAAGTCCCCCAAAGCAGGTGTCGGCACGCTCAGCAGTGTCAGCACAGCCAAAAATGTGTATTAGTTTTCTTTAGAGAAAAGTTCAGCAAGGGAAACAGCAGTCAGATCAGTCAGATCTCTAATATGTTCTAGTTAAGAAGCCTGCGTTTCTGAGTGAGTTGCTGTGGACTTTTGGAGAGTCATATTTTGTCTCTGGACTTTGATCTCTCATGTCTCTACTTAAGGTGACTGCAGAAGATCAGGGTGATCTTCAGGACTGGAAACTGCCAACTGCCGTGTGATCCCTTGCGTGGGGCCCTGACCCTTTCCTCTTTAGAGTGCAGCTTCCCTGGGATTGGGAATGAGGGAGTGAGGATAATGTGCCTCCTGACCAACCCACAGAAGGAATGCAGGCTCGGTGGGTTTCTCAGGAGGCCCGGTCTGCATGCTGTGGTGCCCTGAGGACGATGTGGAGAAAACTGCCTGCTGTGGGGTCTGACTTTCAAGGTCTCGTGATGCTAACAGCCTCCAAATGTAAGTCTTCAGTCTGCGCGTGTCCCAGGGGCCCAAAAGAAAAACAAAAGATGAGCTCTGCAAGGGCTTGCATACTAGCTGCTACCTCTCTGCTAAACTGCCGCTTGTCTCCCCTCAGACCCTCCTCATTCTCTGGTTACAAGGAGGGGTGTAGGGTGGCTCTTGGATACCTGTCTTCCAGCCCTGGGTGTGATCTTCAATGTTTCACTGTTGCCCTCCGAGATTCAATTTCCCCTTTTGACAGCTTGGTCTGACAGCTTCTTCCTTGCTAAAGGTAAGAAACAGATGGCATCAAGAAAGGTTAAGGGGGAGCTGGAGAGATGGCTCAGAGGGTAAGAGCACTGGCTGTTCTTCCAGAGGTCCTGAGTTCAAGTCCCAGCAACCACATGGTGGCTCACAACCATCTATAATGAGATCTGGTGCCCTCTCCTGGCCTGCTGTCATACAGCAGGCAGAGCACTGTATATATAATAAATATATCTAAAAAAAAAAAAAGTTAGAAAGGTTAAGGTGCTGGACAGTTGTGGTGTACCTCTTTAATTTCAGTAATCAGGAGGCAGAGGCAGGCGGATCTCTGAGTTTGAGGACAGCCTGGTCTACAGATTGAGTTTCAGGACAGCCAGGGCTACCCAGAGAAACCCTGTCTCAAAAAAAAACAAGAACAAACAGAATTCCAAAACAAACCTTTGATCGCACCCAGAGACCACAAATGAAATAATGATGCGATGCTTTAGGAGAAACACCAAAGACTCCACAGTGCAGCTGGAGAGTCCAAGCTGGCCTTGAACTCCAGAGATCCTCCTACCTCTTGCTCCCATGTGCTGGCATTGAAGGTGTGCACCACCTTTAATGTATGGAGCAATAGGCAATTGGTAGCACTCCCCGTTGCTGAGTCCTGTGCTCCTCTTGGCCCTTCATAGCCTTGAATCTTGGGTTGAGTATAGTGGGTCTTGGATGTGTAGGTGTTAGTGAGGTGTGTCTATTCCTTCTGTTCTGTCTGAAGCTCAAACTCTGCATGGCCCTGAGGCTGAGCAACCTGTCCCATCCTCTTTGCCTACAGGTCTGATCCCACCCAGCCCAGAGCCTGATGACCCGGGCAGGGGTACCCACTCATAACCACTATGACACAGGTTACTAAACCTCTCTGCTTTAGTTCCCATCTGGAAAAAAATGAGAAGGATAAAACTCATGGTGTTTCATAAGGATTAGATATAAGACACAAGAATACAAGGTGCCTCCTATGGGCTAGTGTCCTGTGTTTGCTGTTGCTAGATGGTGATGAGGATGGTGATTGTTCCTCTGAGGATCTCAGGAGCCCCAAGATCTCTGCCAGAGATTGCACTCTGCTGCTAGTTCAGGATCTTCTTCCCTTTCCATCTCCTGAGCCCCACTGTGCACCAGGTGCTAGGGTAGCAGTCTTGCCAATCCTACACATGTCTTCTGTCTCCACTTGGAAACCTCTCAGGCCCTATTTGGTTACCACTGGACTATAAAGTCTGTGAGGACAGGAATTTTCACCTGCCTTATTCACTGCTGGGTCCCCTGCACACACTAGCTCGCCATGAATGGATGAATGAAGTTCTTTCTTCTGCATTTAGTATTTGCATATCATTTATATGTGCGGAGCACCAATATAAACATTTTACCATTTTAATTCATTGATCTGGGCATGGTGACACATACCTGTAATCCTAGCACTCGAGGGGTAGAAGCAGGAGGATGAGGAGTTCAAGGCCAGCCTCACGTACCAAGGCCACATGAAAGCCAGTCTGAAAAAACCAAACAAGGCCTGCATCATAGCTTAGTTGGTAGAGCACATGAAACATGCACAGCGTCCTGGGTTTATCTCAGCACTGCATAAACCAAGACCATGGTTTGTACTTACAACCCCAGCACCCAGGAGGTGCAAAAGTTCAGGGTTATCCTAAACTACATGAGTTTGAGGTCAGCCTGGGCTACAAGAAAATCTAAGAAAAACAAAAACATTGGAAGCCACAGGAGAATTCTATGAGATAGGGGCACTGTTACTGTCCTTCTTTTAAAGAACAGGAAACTGAGCCTGGCAAGGTGACACATGTCTTTAATCTCAGCGCTCAGGGAGGCAAAGGCAGATGGATCTCTGTGAGCTTGAGGCCAGCCTGGTCTACAGTGCGAGTCCAGGACAGCCAAGGCTATATAGAGAAACTCTGTCTCAAGGAGAGAAAAAAAAAAAAAAGAGGAAACTGGAATTGAGGTGCCCAAGGTTACATGGCTAGTAAGTGGCCTTGTTAGGATTTGAAGCCAGAAAATATGGCCCTGGAGTCTGTCCTTCTGTGCTGATCTTGTCTGAGTTTCTGGCTAGTGGGGGAAGTAGGACATGGTGTCAGGTGGAAGGACTTTCCCTGTCCTCCTTCAGGTGCCATGGTTCTTTGGTTTGTTTCTGATAGGATCGTGTGGAGGGCAGGACTAGGGAGCTTACTGTAGAGTGGAGGATGGTTACGTGGGTGAGTGCTGGGATTACAGAGAGGTGCTACCATGCCCCTCGTTCTGCAGTGCTAGGGACTGAGGCCAGGGCTCCGAGAATGTGAGGCAAGCACTCCACCATTGAATCGCACCCCTAGCCTCAGGGTCTGTGCTATAACTAAGATTACCAGCCAGGGACTCTGAGTTCAAGTCCCAGCAGTGCTAGAAGCCAGAAGGAAACGAGGGAGGGGAAAGAAAGGGGAGAAAAACAAGCCCGGTGTAGCGGCACACGCCTGCAATCCCAGCACTGAGGGAGTCAGAGGCAGGCAGATCGCCAGCCTGGTCTACAAAGCAAGTTCGGGACGGCCAAGCATACACAGAGAACCCTGTCTTGAACCCCCACACACACCAAAAAGAGGGGGAGGAGGAAAGGAAGAAGAAAAAAAAAGAATCTTCCACCGTCCCCAGAGATGTCACCTGTTGATGCCCTACTTTTGAGTTGTCTCCATGGAGGAGGGGATGAGCTGAGTGCGGGAGAGGCCCTCCTCTGTGTTCAGGTTCTCTCTTCCACATTTGCTATGTTGAAACTGAGGCAGGTCTTAGTCTACTTCCCCCTCTGTCTGCTTCGCCCTGGGAGCCAAGGATAACGTCACCTCACTTAACAGCTTCTGCTCCCCTGCAGACAGTGCTCAGGCCGCAGCTTTCACAAGCCCATAGGCCAGAGATGGAGCTCCGTGGTTCGCTCCTTAGGAGTGGGTTTGGGGGTTATCACTTAGCCACTCTCTAGACATCCGCTGCAGACCTCCCATCCCTCAAATCACCTGCACTGCTGTGCCTTTACCCAGCGGGCATCTCTAGGGCTCCCCGTCCACAGCATTAGCACCAGAGCTCTCCTGAGCTGCAGGCCTGGCATCAAGAGGCCTCTCAGCCTGACGAACAAGCCGCCGTCAAAGAGATGGGATGTGTAACTTGTTGAACAAAGTCTGTTAAAAATGTTATAAGAAAAGTGCAACTGGCCGAGCATGGTGGTCCAACTCTTCAGCCCCAGCACATGGGAGGCAGAGACTGCTGGATCCCTGTGAGCTGGAGACCAGCCTGTGTAATAAAGGATCCGTCAAAGAAGACAGTGGAGAGGAGAGGGGGCAGAAGAGGAGAACGCCCTTTGTAGCTGTGTAAAGAAAATAAAACTTTGGCATTACAGAAACACAAGCAACCTCAAACTCAGAGAGGGCCTTTGCATTCTTACCACTGCACTGCTCAGAGAACTCCAAAATACTGATTAAAAAAAAAAAAAAAAAAAAAGACCAGTTTAATGTTTATTTACTTTTATTTTGGGTTTTTCCAGGACAGGATTTCACTATGTAGCTCTGGCTGTCCTGGAATTCAGCATGTAGACCAGGCTGGCCTTGAACACATGGAGCTCTGCCTGCCTCTGCCTTCTGAGTGCTGGGATTAAAGGCATGAGCCACTACGTCCAGCCCAGTTTACTTTTTAAAAAATAGACAAAGAACAGGACAATTCCCAAAAAATATATAAGTCGGTAAACATACAAATAGAGTTCCAATATCCTACGTAATACTAATAAAAATAAAATGAGACTTTGACCAGGAAATCCCACTTCTGAGAATCTCAGGCACTAATGTAGCTGGGTAAGAAGCTATGGCTGGGAAGTCAAGATTACCAGCAGCCTTAAACAACCGTTTATTGTTTTCCAGACTCTGAGAGGGACTGAATGGACTTTCTGCTGACCTGGTGTGTGTTTGCTTGCTCTACTTAAGAAAAGTTCCAGGGCAGGATGGAAGGCTCAGGAGTTAAGAGCACATGATGCTTTTGCAAAGGATTTAGTTCCCAACACCTAGATATTGCCAACAATCATCCATAATAGCATGTCCATGATGAGCACACATACATACAGGCAAAACACTCACACGCATAAAAGAAGTCTACAAACAAAAACCACGGCCACTGCCGTGCACTGGAGAACAGGAGAGAAAAGTTCCCTGTGGTATTTCATTACAAAGTGGTTAGAAAAATTGTTAGAGTTGGAAGCTTCCTATATAGAATTTCCGCTTTGTATGTATT